CTATCGATGTCCATTTCATCATTTATCATTGAATGGTTGGTTTTTTTTTTTTTTTTCTGCTCTTTATTTTCAAATACACAAATATTTGTTAGAACCAAAAAAAAAAAAATATGAGGTCATTTTGATTGAATTTTAATGCTATATTGAAAAAAATTTATAATTTTTTTTCATTTCACCTTTTGTAATACATTTTATTCATTTCGTTATTTTCCTTTTCAAAGTTCCTCATTTTCTTACTTTAAAAAAATTTTATTTGTTCAAACAAAAAAAAAAACGAAAAAAAAATTGGAGTTTCAATTTCTCGCCTTTTTCACTTTTTATATATTTGTATTTTTTTTCTTCCGTCTACCTTTTTTTTTAATTTTTTGTTTTCTTGCACTTCACGATAATATTTTCGAAAAATAAACGAAAAAAAAAAAACTTCCAATCTTACTTTTGATCATTTTTCATGCATGTTTATGCATTCTTTCTAGTAAAACATTGTAAAAAGAAAAAGCCAATGAAAAAAAAAAAAGAATTTACTTTAAATTTGAAAGATTTAACAAAAAAGTGTAAATTTTTAAATTGCAACACGAATAATTCATAATATTACGTAATTTAATAATTTTGTTTGTCCTATCATTTTCAATATTTGACAAATGATCAATTATAAAATGTATCATAAAGTATTTTTCTAATTTAATTATTAGTTTATGATTTGATTAATTTATTTCGCAACAGACAAATATGACACAATAAAATCATTGAAATAAAAAAAAAAAGTACCTTTTCTTTCTAAATTTAATTTCTTAACAAACTTTCACATTATCATTAATTCAAATGCTAGTCTCACACTTTCATTAAAGTGCCAATTTTCTTTATGAATTTTTCTTTTTTTTTTTTAAAACCTGATTTCTGAAATTTATTTATTGCTTCAAGATAAAATTGGACGAATATGAAAAAAAATGGAATTATTACAACAAAAAAAAAAAATTCGTTTTTGTTTTTAAATTTAATTCCCTGAAAAGATTTTCATACCATTCATAATTAAATTGTTAATTTAAAAATTTCTTTCTTTTTTAAATTTAATTTTCTGACTTAGTGCATTTATGAATAAATGACAAGGATGATGAATGTGTGTGTGTGTGTGTGTGCGTGTGTGTGTGTATGTGTGTGTATGTGTGTGAATGTGTGTGTGTATGTGTGTGTGTATGTGTGTGTGTATGTGTGTGTGTGTGTGTGTGCATGTGTATGTGTTTATGCATCACTTATGCGTAACTTGGAATCAAGTCAATATGTTGTAAGCAATGATTATGGTTGAAAGGACGTTACTAACATCTCTTACTTACATAGTCCATATCGTGTCAACTACTATGTCACCTCCAACTCTTTGTCCCATTCCCTTCTTCTGTCTCTTATTAAACTACTATTAGTTTAATTTTTCCAATATATGCACACTTCTTCATTTTAATTATAAGAATATTTTGTTTTTCTTTCTTTTTTCTAAATTCTTTCGTTAGACTCTTCCTCAAATTTAATTCTCTTCCTTTTGATCAC